TGTGTGTGTGTGTGTGTGAGAGAGAGAGAGAGAAAGAGAGAGAGAGAGAGAGAGAGAGAGAGGCGGATAAAGAGATACAGAAGGGACATATACAGAGAAGAGGAGATCAGCAGCAAGCAAGATAGATAGCAAGATAGCAATATATATAAATATGTATAGATATATATATATTAATATATTATTATATATATCTTTTTTTTTGGGGGGGGGGCGACTAACCTTAAGACCAAATTGTTAAAATGTGTTGTTGTTACGTGTGTATGTCTCTTCATGCTATATTGGTGACCCCGACGTGATTTAAGGTAAACTTGTCTAGAGATCTAAATTCAATTTAGCATAATCTAGAATCTAGTAAAGGCGATACGTTTCTCAAAATCACACCAATCGAAACTGTAGCACTCAAACTTTCTACGATCTGGACTTCATGTCTTTCCGCGTGGTTCGCACAAACAGAGGCCCAATTTGCTTAACGTGGGATCACAACTGACGAGACAAAATACTACTACGTTGTAGCGGCGCTTGATGCAGCTACAACAGCAAGAACCCTATCCATAACTTCCTCACCTACTTCAAGTCAAAAGTACGACACACTCAAGTCTTTTCTTATAGAGGCCTATAGTTTATCAGAGGAAGAAAAAGCAGCAGCCTTATTGAGCATAAAAGAACTGGGCGATAACAGGCTCTCTGAGATGTTGGAAAAAATACTAGCTTTGTTGGGAGAAAGCAAACCGTGTTTTCTTTTTCGCCATATTTTTTTACAGCTGTTTTCAGAACCTATTAGAGCTCCTGGCGAATTCCCACACAGAACAGATTACCGCGCGGTGGCTAAAGAAGCGGATCACCAGCACAATTCCCTTTCGCCAAATTTGAAAGTCTATACTGCGGGGCGACCTACTGATTCTGTTTCAGACCTGTCCGAAGCTGATACTATTAGCTGGTTCCATCGAAAATTTGGACCTAACGCAACACGCTGCAGCAGCCCATGTAAACACTTTAAGAATTTCCAACTCAAAAAGCATCAGGGAAACGGGAGAGCGGGCCAGCAGTAGAAGTTGAAGATCCGACTGTTGGTCCGCAATGTTGCTCAACAACAACTCTTACGACACCGACGACAGACTGTAAAGTAATTCAGCTGTTTGTCACGGACATTAAGTCTAAACAACGTTTCTTGATAGACACAGGTGCCCAAGTCTCTGTGACACCAGCGTCATGGGCTGAAAGAACGTCTGGTGCGACAGGTCCACCCTTGCAAACAGCCAACGGAACAACCATAGCGACCTACGGATCCAAAGTTATTCCTTTTCATTTCGGTGACCGTGTGTTTAAAGCACGTTTGATATCTGCCAATGTTAAGCGACCCTTACTGGAGGCTGATTTCCTCCGGCAACACAATTTATTAGTTGATGTTCGAGGACACCGTCTAAATGAGGCAAAAACCTTCTCGCATATCTCTTGCTCGTTCAGTTCCATTTCAAGTGGCTCAGATCTGGCCCTCATTGATACATCAAGCAATAGATGCCGCAAGGTTCTCAACGAGTATCCCGAACTCTTAAAGCCTACTTTTTCCACAGCAGATGTCAAGCATGATGTGCAACACTTTATTCCCACCAAAGATCAACCTGTTTTTGCTCGTGCTCGTCGCATGGCACCAGACAAACTCGCGTCTGCAAAGAAGGAGTTCCTTGAGAAGGAGAAAATGTGCATAATACGCAAATCAAACAGCCCCTGGGCATCGCCTCCACATGTTGTGCCTAAAAACGCCGGAGGTTCCCGCCCAAGTGGAGATTACCGCAAGTTCAACGATGCTACAGTCCCAGATCGTTACCCCATACCCCATATTCAGGACTTTTCTGCTCGTCTAACTGGTAAGACCATTTTCTCTAAAATTGATATGTTCGAGGCTATCATCACATCCCATGGCACCCGGGGACGTACCTAAAACGGCAGTGATCACAACCTTCGGTTTGTGGGAATTCTTGAGGATGCCATTCGGGTTAAAGAATGCAGCCCAAACATTTCAGCGACTGATGGACACAGTGCTTCAGGAACTAGATGGTGCATTTGTATATCTGGACGATATCCTAGTTGCTAGTTCATCAGCCCAGTCTCACGTCGACGACCTCAACGCAGTTTTTCAGCGGTTGCGACACCATGGATTGGTGATAAAACTGGAAAAATGTCTTTTTAGCGTTGCATCACTTGATTTTTTAGGACATCGGGTTTCTGTGTCAGGTTCAACACCTATGCCCTCTAGGGTTGACGCCGTTAATGAGTTTCCTAAGCGAAGTACAGTCAAAGCGCAGCAGGAGTTTCTGGCTCTACTGATTTTTTACCTTCGTTTCATTCCCAACACCGCTGCGATTTTGCACCCACTTTACCACGCTCTGAAAACAGAGAAACCTCGTCAAGCTCTAAGCTTGACCAATCAAATGAACCAGGAATTCCTTTCGGGTAAACAGGCCTTGGCAAACGCATCCATTCAGGTTCCTCCGTGCACAAGCTGTCCAATCGCTCTCTCTCTTGGGATGCATCTGATGTGGCCGTCGGTGCTGTCCTCGAGCAATACAAGAATGATCGTTGGGAGCCTCTCGCCTTTTTCAGCCGGCAGCTACGTAAGCCAGAAATGAAATACAGCACCTTTGATAGAGAGCTTTTAGGTGCCCACCTTGCAATACGCCATTTCCGGTACATGGTGGAAAGTAGGCAAATTATTATCTACACCGATTTCAAACCGTTGGTCTCTGCAACGTCAAAAACTACAGACTTGTGTTCAGCCCGACGGCAAAGGCAGCTATCTGCTATCTCAGAATTCAGAACGAACATCAAGCACATATCTGGGAAGACAAACATTATTGTCGATTATCTCTCACGTGCTATGATCGCAACTAATGCAGTCTCACCGGGTATAGATTTGGCAGTCTTTGCAGCAGCTCAGCAGTCGAGTACAGCTGATACTCAGACGTACACTTCAGCTTTCACAAGCTTAAAATTCATTAAAACGAAGTTGAGCGATGAAGGTCCCGAAGTCCTTTGCGACATTTCAACTGGCAGAGCTCGGCCCATTGCTCCTCCAGAGTTCAGGCGCCAGGTGTTTGAGTCTGTACACAACCTTGCACACCCATAGGTTAAAGCTCATCTCAGAAAAGTTTGTGTGGCATGGCCTACGACGTCAGGTCAGCAGTTGGGTAAAGCAGTTTCACGAATGCCAGACGTCGAAAATCCAGAAACACACCCGTGCTCCCTTAGAGACATTTAGAGTACCCGACAAGCGGTTTTCACACATCAATATTGATATAGTGGGTCCACTTCCTCAGTCCTGTGGTCAACAGTATCTTTTGACAATTATTGACCGCAACACACGATGGCCAGAGGCGATCCCTATGCCTAACATAACAGCAGATGAATGTGTTAAGGCTCTCATAGGAGGCTGGATCTCCTGTTTAGGTGTTCCTGCCGATATGTCATCGGACCGAGGATCTCAATTCATTTCTGCAATTTGGACTGACATAGCTCAACACCTTGGAGTCCGCTTACATAGAACAACGGCTTTTCACCCCCAAGCAAATGGAATGATCGAACGGTTCCATCGCTCGCTTAAAACGACATTGAAGGCCAGACTCACTGGTAACAAGTGGGTGGAAAAACTTCCTTTGGTACTCCTTGGGCTACGAACCGCTCTCAAGGATGACCAGGGATATTCATCAGCACAACTGGTCTATGGCAAGCCACTAACCGTTCCTGGTGATCTTTTACCCTCTGAAGCATCAGCCTGTACAGGCAGACCCTACCCAACCAGTCCATCTACAGCAACCAGCACGACGCAGCCGCCCTTCGGTATTACAGGAACCAAAGCCTACCTTTAGGAACTCTGATGGGCGAGACCAAGCTACAGATTCGGTTCACCACCGATAACTCACGTCACGTGCTGGACGTCTAGTGCGTCCACCCGTAGGCTACCAATGGTCCCATTAGACGTCTGTGCTTGGGGGGGGGGGGGAGGTGTGTGGCGACTAACCTTAAGTTTGAGACCAAATTGTTAAAGTGTGTTTTTGTTATGTGTGTATGCCTCTTCAAGTTTCATATTCATATTTATATATAGCAAGATAGAAATGTAGAAATAAGAGACAGACAGACAGATAGATAGATAGATAGATAGATAGATAGATAGATAGATAGATAGATAGATAGATAGATAGATAGATAGATAGATAACCAGCCTACATGTGTCCCCCTCACCCCCCAGCCCCCGCTAGAGACCCGCCCGGTGTGCGGATATGCTATGTCTGTGGCAACAACGCCACAGGGGAAGAGTGTACCCGCTCCACCAACAAACACACACAGGCGTGTCCGGCACACCTACAGACCTGTCTCACTGACGTCATACAGGACGGCCACCGGAGGAACATCTTCAGGAGGTAGTCCCTTTACTTAGGGCCATAACATAGAGAACGCCGAAACTCTTAAGCGGCTGAAGATCGACGCGGACAGGCGCCAGTAGGTGTCTGATTGACTCCACATAGAGGGCGCCTAAGGCCTAGATCTAGATAGAGAAAAAATTACACAACAACACAGCTGGTATTTATGAAGCTTTTATTTTGGGGATAAAATAAAACTCGAAATTCCTAAAATATTGCTTAAAATGTAATGCTGTTCAGGTGCCACCCTAATTTGACGACGGTGATTTAAAAAATGTAATTAGTTTTTGTCTAACATGAAGCACCAGCTCTGAAGTGACCGTTTAAAACTGTCCTCAGTCCAATCGGGTGACGTCACGCAAACTGCTCAACCCGAGTTGGCGACCGCGAGATGGCATTAAGAGTTCACGACCTCAGTACCTTCTGGTCGCATCTCCATTTTTGATAACAGTGAAAACAGTTCAGAACAAAGAGTGAGCTTAAGAAGAAGTCATATTTTCACTGTTAAAAATGGAGATACGACAAGAAAGCACTGAGATCGCGAGTTGACAGCGAGGCGCCTTTCCCAGTTTTTCGGCGTAATAAGAAAGTAGTTTGGATTCCAATAAAGCCGACAACGCCGATCGGTGCTTAAAGCCGCCTGCAGTCTGCCAGCTCTGTATGGGGCAAGTTAGAAATCAAAAGGGATTTTTTTATACCTCTCGGCGTTTACTGAGTCAGTCTCCGAAATCGGCGTTCTCTATGTTTTCGCCCATTACTCGGTTACATGTATTGTAGAAGTTGGGTTCCTTCTTTTTTGTGTGGGGCGAGGGGGGCGGAGGTTTACAGAAATGCATTTAGAGGAACTGGGGCCTTTTGGGAGAGAGAGAGAGAGAGAGAGAGAGAGAGAGAGAGAGAGAGAGAGAGAGAGAG